TATATATATATATATATATATATATATATGCCATGATACTATTGTGTGAATAGCGAGTGTTGGTTGGTGCCTTCAGGTCCAGTGAAGACATGGTCAGAAACACCTTTGTTTTATGCTATGATACTGTTGGCTGATCTTTCAGTGTTTGTGGCTACACCAACAACATTTGACCAAAATGGGGCCATTGAATTTGACCAAAATTAGATAAACAATAGCTGCAGTAGATCAAGGGGCTCAAAAAGCCCTGGTGACAGTGAAGGACTGTGCTGCTGTCTCAAGCTCAAAAAGAGGGTGAGGAGCATCAACCTTTTCCAGTGCAGTTCAGATTTATGTTCCAATCATAAGGTCCATCTTCTCTCCCTCATTCTAAGGAGCCCTGCCAAAGCAAAAGCATCCTGCAATAAAGAAAAAGGAAGAAGAAAGGAAAGGACCACATTGCCACTTCCACATCTGCTAACTAGTCCTCCGCAATTTGCTCCACTCTGTTCCCGGAATCAAACTCGAGAGCTCCTCATCCTCCCAACTCCCCCATGATTCTCTACTCATTGTTGATGCAAGAGAAGAACAACCCACAAAAAAGGCAAGCAAGAATCTCCATTCTTATCTTTCTTTTTCTTCGAGGCACACTTGTTTTGCATCGTGTGAGTTCACTGAAATTTTACTTGTGTTCATGAATTCAAGGTGTGTGTACTTCATTTCAACCTGCAACGGCTTTCATGATACACTGCATAGTTTTCCTGATACTTGGAGATGTACTGATCGATGGATGCTCACTTTCCAGAAAACCATGGTATGGAAGAGTGATGGAGGCCAAAATTCTATGGAAGCATGTGACGAATCCTCCAGCAGCGAAGTCTACCGGAATCCCAGCCAAGTCCAACAAGCAGAATCTAAGGAAATCCACCTCCCAAAAGGTAGCCTCTTCCTTCACTCGGGTCTGCCTCTGCGCTCCCATCTCCTCCTACAACGAGGTGTTCCGAGCAGAAGTCCCGCCGCGAAGAAGCTACAGTTGTACGAGGTCGAAATCCGTCGTGGCGTCGTCGGAAAGGACCGTAAGCACGAGGACTTCTGCCGAGGGACGAAGAGTGTTCCGGGGGAAGTCACTGACGGATGACGTGCTGATGAGAAGGTTTGTGGTGGAAGAGGAGGCGATGACGCAGCAGAGGAGGAGGAACCAGATGGAGTTCGTCAGGAAGAGGAATGCCATGAGAAGGAAAAAGATTGGGCCGAGTCCTCTCAGTAGGATGGCAATGGCCGAGGAAGAAGAGTAGTGATGGTTCTCAACCGTGTTGTTACACTCCTTCCTATCGGTCCTCACAAACATGAGAGGTCTTTTTTGTTTTGGTTTTGGTTTTGGCTACTCTTTCTCTCTCTGTGATAGGCATCAATTGGTAGGCATTCGCTGAACTCGAGGTTGAGTTCTTTCTCTTTTTCCTCGGAATGAATTTTTGTTTTGCAATGGGAGAAAAAAATCGAGTCATAAAATTATGAGAATAAAAAATATATTAAATTAAAATAAAATTATATATATCGATCATTCTCAGTTAGCTTTGACTTCGGGATCATAATTTAGTAGTTATAAATAAATTAGTAGTTAGTAGTTTTATTGTTCTTCAGACTTCAAATCTAATCTATAATGCCTTATTTCTATGCTGCATCATCATCATCATCATATAGGTAACAAAGTTTAGCTTTCATTCCTTATATCCTTAGAACACAGATATACACAGTGCACTATACGCTGCTGTCTTATGACCGACTGCAAGTTTCTATCATTCATCGTCTACAGGAAGCCAACTCCAGGCATGCGTAATGCCGTGTCAGAAGACGCCATTCTGGTACTCGGCTTGGCAGAACTCGCCGCCGAGATCGTCGCAGGCCTCGCCAGGGAACACACTGCAAACGTTGCATGGTGTGTTGTTAGATAGCTACCCACGTAGTATAACCGAGCAGTGAAATCTACGTGGCCTTGCAGCGAAGAGAAGAAAGGAAGTACGTTTTGGGATCGTTGTACTCGAGGTAGTCTCTGTCGATCTCCTCGGAGGCCGGTCTGCCACCGCTGCCGGCCGCTGCCGCGAGCTTCGCTTCCGGGAACATCCTGGCGTTGCATGCCTCGCCACCGAGTATCTCACACGCCTCCATGGGAAACACGCTGCAAACCCCAGCAGGGAAGATGTCATCAACAGTAGAGAGAGAGAGAGCGTACGTACGAGATGGAGGAGCTGTAGTCGATGGTGGAGGTTTCCGATGAGGTGACGGCGACAGCTCTGGGTTTGAGGAGCTGCTGCCTGCATCTTTGGAGGTGGTTTTGCTTCCTCTGGTGAGCATGAGATGGATGGAGTTTGCTATTTATACGAAGAGGAATGATGAGGATAAGGTTCTCTTTGGAACCCCTCACCACTTTGTAGATTTTTCTTCCTTTTTTTCTTGTAGAAATCTCATCTATAAAATTTTCATTGATTTCTTGTCTAACTATTTCGGATCATCCTTAGATATTTTGCTAGTTGGGTGGGAGTTGTCCATGTCATGCTCTTTGCCACTGCTTTGGTAGCCCATATTTTGGATGGTCAAAGGGACAGATGAACTAAAAAGACAATTCCTTCTGTAATAATTATATATATATATATTTGTAATGATTAAGGTTACTTTTTTCTGACCTGACCTGACCTGACCTGAGTAATAAAAGAAATTTTTGAGAAAAGAATATACATCATCATGAGTTGGGAAAAAGTCAAAACAAATACTTTTATTGAAAGAGAAAATGTTGCATTCACATCTTCAATTCTGTAAAATCAGGGAAAAAAAGGGATTTAATTGTGCTAATTACAGAAATTATTCTTTGATTATTATTCTCAGGCATGCACCTGAGAATAATAATGAGACTGGTTGACTTTTTATTTGTCAGACCAAACATTAATAACTTCTGATGTGGTGTCGGTAAGCCTGTCCGCAGCTTCTGCAACCATAAGCTGTGTTAGGCTTGCGGGAGATCAATAGATGAACTAGATTTAAGAACAGTTGATATTAGCGTGAATGGAAAATGGCGGTACAAGCGAAGGAAAAGGATGAGAAGAAGAACCTGTTGCTCTGCTGCATCTAAATTCTATCATGTTCTTATCCTAAAGGCCAGCATTCGTATTGCTGGATCCCACTGCCACGACTCCTGTGCCACTTCCGCAGCCCGACTTGATATCTGAATCTTCTGGTCTTTGCTCTGGAAGATTAGCTGCTCTTTGATCAGCTGCTTTATTGATGAGCTCGTCGATCTTTCGAAACTGATAAGGCCATCTTGAGTTGTACAGGAATTGACGAAGGTCAAATCTGTTATCTTCAGGTGAGTAGCTCTACAAGCATTGATATTAGGTTAAAATTAGTTATAGCTAGAAGATTTCTTCCACGAAGGAACAAAAAATCTAATGAAGAGGCTATGTGATGAAGAATAGGATTACCTCAGCATGATATGAGGGAGTCAACACTGTCATCTTATGCCGATTGATGGAGTAGTACTTGAAGAAGTGTTTTACTTTCTCTGCTACCTCTGATGGAGTTAATTTACCACACCACTTATGACACAGATTCTGCAAATATAAGCAGCATTCAATTGAGAAAAGCAATGTAGAGTGAAATGTGGTCTATATGTTAGTTGAAATACATAATAAGAAGAGATCTCAAGATCCACCATCCAAAGGTCTGAAAATTCACATTCAGAACCTGGAGTCAACCATAAGTTGGATTTTATTTGTCAGCAGTAGCAAACAAGGATAAATTGGTATGTGTGGGTTCCCATACCAGAAAAATAACTGTATGATACAGGGTCAGAAGGTGCATGCTTAGACTGGCCTATTTTTGATGCCAGTGAGCATAAACACCTTGAAAGTGAAAGCTGATTGAGAACTCACCACATGATGAGTTGTGTGTTGCCACCAAATACACAATGGCACAAACCCAACCAACCTCCCGGTTGCCATGAGTGTGTCCCATATAGTGCAATACCAGCCTAATTAAGCATATTAGTTCTGCTTGTGAATGGACATGCTTCGAACTCTTGTGATATGAATTGCATGAACTCAATTGAGCTCATTAGTGCGGGAACAAAGAACCAATCCGAACTTGATGTCTTTGCCATATAAACTTAATATAAAGTACAGAGATCACTCAAAATCCTTGCTCATCCATACTGCCATCCCCTATCTCTCTGTGACAAACAATTTTTTTTTTCCTTGGTCTGTCCTGCAGCTCAGTACTGCAAGGAGGTCATAGGCCTGGAGTCGGATCTTATGTGAAAC